GGCCCCACTTCATTAGATGGATGTGCATAAAATTACGCAGCTGCCCTTATATATTTTAATTTGGTCAAGAGATATCAAGTTATTTACCATACTACTATTAATGATTGACCATGTTTGACTTCAGAATGACCATTGATATATTTGATCTAATGGTGTAGAATCATTCTTATTTCTTTCACTATATATCATTCTCATATGATCCCTTCTCTCTCTCTCTCTCTCTCTCTCTCTATATATATATATATATATATATATATCATAGTAGTTTCTATAGAAAGTGAAAATAGCTATTTTCACCCCGTTTTGAAGTCTTGTTAAGATTTTCACACCGTCCAATAAAAAGCTAAGTTTTTCACCCTAGAAAGTGCGAAAGGCATTGTGCGATGAATATGCGACAATTGCGCGATGACATTGTGCGAAAGTTAAAAGTGCGAAGGCATTTGCATATCTCTTCGCACTTTTTGGGAAAAAAAGTTAAAGTGCGAAGGCATTGTACGATGAATATGCGACAGTTATGCAATTGATATGCGACAGTTATGCGAAAAACTGTCGCATAACCTTCGCATATGCGACAGTTATGCGATGAATATGCGACAGTTTTCGCCTAATCTTCGCACTTTCTGGGGTAAAAAACTTAGATTTTTATTGGACGGTGTGAAAAACTTACTGTGTCTTTGTATTGGGGTGGAAAAGATTTTTTTCCTTATAGAAATATGTAACGACGATTAAATTTTTATTTAAAAATTAATTGAAAAATGTGAATGCATTATAATGAAAAATGAATGAACAATGTATTTTCTCTCTGCAGCTTCATGCGCCCCTCTTTCATAAAAAGAAAAAAATCCTCGTCGGAATTTGAAGCGGCTCCCCCTCTTCGGCCGGTCGTGCGACCTCCGAGCCGGCGTAGCTGAGTCAAGGTTGGAGGTGTCCAATCCCCCCCTCGTGGAGTCTTGTGGGTGGTCGGTGGTGGTCTCGCCCCTCCGCCAATCTCCCTAGCTCCCATTGGGGTCGACGACCTTCCATGTCTAGCCTCCAACCTTTAGAGCCCGACCAATCCATTGGTATCTTTAGTTGCGTGCCTCCAACTCTGCGCCCATGGAGGAGCGCCCGCTCGGCTGCGGGCGACCATGGATGTTCCCTTCTCGGGCCTTGTTTTCAATTTCTCTGGTGGTTTCGTGGTGGCTCCCTCTCCCCCTGCGTTGAAGATCTTCGGAGCCCAAATCTGGATGGAAAATTGAATCCTTATCAAACTTTTCTATACAGTTTGGGTTTGGCCGCAGTTTTTGAGTTTGGGATCTTGGTTTGTTGCTTTGTTAAATTTTTGTGTTGTGGTGTGTGACTCGACTCCCCTTTCCCCAGCGTTGAAGATCTTCGGAGCCCAAATCAGGACAAAAAATTGACTTCTTATCAAATTATTCTAGAGAGTTTGAGTTTGGCCGCAGTTATTGGGTTTGGGATCTTGGTTTGTTTCTCTGTTGGATTTCTAAGTTGTGGTGTATGACGTGGTTGTCAGTTTGTATGTTTATGCGGTTTGTCTGCTAGGTTTATGGAAGGTCTTTTTCTTATTGTTTACTAGGTGTTCATCGTTTTTGTGTTTCTTTGTTTTTTTTAGTCCAACGGTCAAAGTCGGCTCCAGGGACAAGCAATATAGGCAGCTGCCTAGGGCCTCCATTTTGGGAGGCCTCACGATTTTTTTTTTTTTTTAAT